GAAGCTACTGCATATTGTTCTTCTATAAACGAACATTTAACTATGTTATATGTACCTAATTTAATTTGCTATCAGTAAGGGCTTTAGTTAATATTGGTTATGTAGTAACCTTTAGGGGAGATAACTGTATAATAGAGAAAGAGGGTAAAAGTGTTACTGCTACATTAAAAAATGATTTATATGTGATGCATGATGACTAGTTGTAGGTTGCTAACTCAGTTTATAACAATGTTAAGCCACATGATGAATGTATACATTTACTGCATAGACATCTGGGTCACATTAATTTCAAAATGCTCAAACAAACTGTTAAATTGGCAGAGGGAGTAAAATTGAAACCCTGTAGCAAGTATTTACACTGTAATACTTGTAGCCAAGATAAAAGCAAGGTTACCCCAGCAAACAGACTAAATGGGTTTAAGACCAAAGATCCTTTAGAGATTGTTTTTGCTGACATAATTGATCCTAAGAAACCAAGTTTAGGAGGTGCCTGTTATATTTTGAGTATTATTGAGTATTACTCACGATACGGTTTCTGCTATCTTATGAAAAACAAAACAGAAACATTCCAACATTTCTTTAACTGGCTAAGGTTTGCTGAGAGAAAAATGAAAAGTAAAGTAATTACTTTAGTAACTGATAATGGGACTGAATTTGTTAACAAAAAATTCCAAACTATGCTAAAATTGGCTGGTGTTGAGCATAAACGTTCTGCACCTTACAGACCACAACATAACTTGTTTATAGAACGAAGAGGGCAAACATTACAAGCCATGGCTCGTACTATGTTATCTGATTCAGGTTTACCTGAAACACTGTGGGGTGAGGTGTGAAGTAACCATGTTTTAAACAATGTAGTAAATACAACAACTGGAGAATTACCATTCACTCGTTGGCCTGGCAGAAAATCAAATTTAAGTTACCTACACACATTTGGAGCTCCAGCATGGGTGCATATTCCCTCACAAATAAGACTGAAAGGGCAACATAGAGCTAAGAAGTTATTTTGGGGGGTTACGAGGCCAACCATAGATTATTTAGATTTTGGGATCAAGGCACAGCTCATGTTTATTGTAGCACCAGTGCAAAATTTCTTGAACACGTTGGATGGGATAAACTGGAACAGGAAGCCAGCAATGATATTATTATTGACACCCAAATAGCCCCTAAAGATAAAATCAGTAAACCCCAAATAGCCATTAAAGAGGAAGAACAGGAGGAAGTAGAAGAACAGGCACAGGAGGAGGTAGAAGAACAGGAGCAGGTGGCACAGGAAAGTCCACCAGTAAGCCCTGTATTACCAAGACATTCAACCCGAGTAACACGACCACCTGATAGATATCAGGCTAGTGTTGTATGCCAAGTGAATACAGTTCCAAGTAACTATAGTGAACTAAAACTGTATCCTGCTAAGGATCAGGCTGCTTGGCAGAAAGCAATGGATAAGGAACTGGAATCTTTAAAAAGACTGGAGGTATACGAAAATGCCATAGGATGCAAATGGGTTTATAAACTGAAGAGAGGTGTAGATGGGACTGTTACCCATAAAGCCAGGTTAGTAGCACAAGGGTTTAATCAGACAGCAAAATGACTATGATGAGGTGTTTGCACCTAGTCTGAAGGCTACTACATTAAGGGCAGCATTAGTGTGGGCACTAATGTAAATCACTTGGATGTAGAGACAGCATATCTGCATGCACCATTGCAACACACCATATATTTAAAGAAACCTTTAGGTCTCAGAAATGATAATACTGATAATAATTATTGCTGGAAATTGAAAAGGAGTCTTTATGGTTTGAAGCAATCTGGATATGAGTGGAACCAATGTATAGTTAAAGAATTAAATAAAATAGGTTTTGTAGCTGGCATGACTGATCCATGTTTGTTAAAAGAAAAAGTAATGGTATGATTTCATTATTGTTATTATTTACTGATGCATAGCATTAATCACCAAAATGGAACAAGAAGCTACTGAGACAATCTCACTGTTGGAACAGAAATTTAAGATAAAACAATTAGGAGAAATCAAACAATATCTTGGTTTAAAGATAGATAGAACTAGGGGAGGATACAAGATCTCACAGGCAGATAAAATTAACCAATTACTAAAAAGTTTTAAAATGGAACTTTGTAAGCCGGCTAAAACACCAATGAGCCAGGAGTTTAGCCATAGTGATGTTCAAAGTCCTATTTTTGATAAGAACATTTATCAGCCCTTGATTGGTAATTTATCTTATCTCAGTAATTGGTCGAGGCCAGATATTGCATACAGTGTTAATCAATTAGCGAGATTTAACGCTGAGCCAACTGAAGGGCACTGGCAAGCTGCTAAACGTGTGTTAAGATACCTGAAACAAACAATGCATTATGAATTGTATTTGGAGCCAAAAGATGAACTGAATTTGACTGCATATGCTGATGCAAGTTTTGCTACAGACATAAATACAAGAAAATTTACATCGGGTACTGCTGTATTATTGGGAAAAGCATTGATTGGATGGAGATCTATTAGACAGAAACATCTAAGTTTGTCAACAATGGAGGCTGAATTCTCATGTTTGTCTTTACTATGTACAGATTTAGTTTTGTATAAACAATTATTAATTGATATGGGAATTGATGTAAAAGATCCTATTGTTGTTTATGAAGATAACCAATCAGCAATACAGATGGCTTCAAATATTGCTGTTAAAACAAGAATGAAACACACAGATTTAAGATATTTAAATGAGAGACAATGTGTGCAAAGTAAGATGATTAAGCTGGAATACTGTATGTCAGAAAACAATATAGCAGATCATTTTACAAAGGCCCAAGACTCTATAAAGCATAAGGCTAGCTGTGAAGATTATGGACTTAGAATGTAAGGTTATACATATTATCTAACCCAAAAGGGGAGAATGTTAGGAATATAAGTCACCTAACAGGTATTTGGGTTAGAAATATATAAACCAGGATAAACATTTTAAAACTGTATCTTTAAGAAAATGCAAAACTGTAATTAGGTGTGGTTTCTCAAACAGCCATAAGATGGAGCCAGAAACCTGGTTTGTCTTAGTCTGAGTCTTAGAAGAGAGTGTGAGTATATCTCTGTTTCCTTCTGTTGGAAAGTATTGCCGTTCCTCCATTTTTCCTAATTGACTGCTATTTCTGGATTTGATGTAAGTTTGTTACTGAACTGTTTTTGACACTGGAATTTGTTATTGGGTTATCCCTGGATTGAAAAACTGACTGATTTACCTATGAATGATTTTGGACTGCTTATCTTGAACTTTGCTTAAACTTTCTGGAAGTAAAAACCTACATTTACTGTACAGTGTATCTGTGTACTGTGTGTGTATTATTCAAACACTACTCTCTATACGTCTCCCTGTATGCGCTCATTCTCCTAAAGGGGAATTACCTCAACACATACATTTAATGTGCATGTTTACTTGGGGTTTTTTTTGTGGACAATTAAAAGAATTTTATAAATATCCATAATAGATATTACTTAGCATAAAAAAACGTTGTGTAAGACATTTAAGGATTTGGGTTGATGACATAATTGTTTTATTCTACATGCTCCATACACAGGACAGTAGTATTGTGTTGCTAGTGACGTATATATTAGAATCCTTAAGACTCTCATCTGTTTGATCTAGGATACAATAGTGTTAAAAATAGCCAAATGAATGCACACCTTCTTTCAGTTCTGTGCAAAAGTATCCTGTAAGTCAAATGGGCTTGGTAACTTGTTCAATTTATTTTAGTTGTACATTTTTTAAAATATATATTTACAAGAAATTTCATTTTATGCCATGCCATTTTATTTTTAAAGTAATCTAGAAATACTCTTTAACAAATCTTTTCACCAAAGATGGGAAAACTTCTTGCTTAGTTTCAGACATCTTTTTGCTGCTATTGAACCATAATGTAATCAAGGGCAGTACATATGCAACAGTACCACATTTTAAACAAGGTAAAAGATATAATTGCATCTTCTATCTTGCTACATTTTAACATTGCATGGTTTAAAAATCACAATTTAAAGGTAGCTTTGAAAGGACCAATCAATAAACCTATTGTATAAAGAAGGTATAAGAGGATTATGGTTCAGTTAGGATTTTAATATAATTACTCTGGACTGGCTACAAGTCTAGATAGAAGGAAAAATAAGTATACCTATTCTTTCAGTATAATTATTTCAAGGATAATATTCAAAATCTTAATTTAAATTCAAAAGAATTGTGTTGATTGTAAAATAAATTACATCTGATAAAACATTTACCTACAATGTTTATAGCAAGCACAATTTTGGCAATGTAAATTTGAATATGTGTTAGTAAGACCAAGTTTGGAGTATATACTGTATGGAAAACTATGTTATGCAAAGATAATTTTGTATATCTTGAGGGTGAACAATTTTCATCTTGTTTTGATTTACTACAAAATGGGTATTCATTTACAAACTACAATATCTGACCTATTCTGCCTGTGCTCAGAAACCTAAGCAAGGTTGAATCTAACTAGTATGCAGATGGAAAACCAAGAATAAATTTCAAGAGTGTAGGACTGATTAGGTAGTCTGAAAAACATCTTGGAATAAGTTACTGACAAGCCACTTTCATACTACATCAAGAAACAAGAGTTGAGTGTTTACCTTAAAAAATGCCAATAGCACCAATAGATGATTTTATGGGACATAAATGAATTCTAAGAAGTGCTGTCTGATACACTTGAGAGGATGGAAGACATATGATATGGCCACATTGTGGAAGGTCTGAAAATGTAATGCTCGGATAGAAAATGCCCTGAGAAACCCTATTTGCATTGCTTTGAATTTAATCAAAGAAAGTCAGTATATACATAAACAACTTAATTTGGAATATGCAATTTCATGGATCATCTGCTCCATGGACTAAGAGCTGTGAACAGAGAATACTGCTCCTAAAATCAATTTGAATAAATTAAAACAATTTAAAGAGTATTTTCTCTTGTAAAGAATAGAGTTCCTGTATTGTAAACATTAGCATTTAATTCAAGTGGAGCCATAGTATACATACACCAACTTTAGTCAATATACCTTATTTTAGAATATATTCCATATCTGAATAAAAAAGCTTAAATAATCAATACATGTACAATAATGGGAACCTACCTTTCCAGTGAACTATGAGTGCACATTAATTGGTTTTACTCTCCACTGAAATATGAGTGGACATTAGTTAACTGGCTTTATCCACTGCAAAAATAATTTAAACAGCATACTTGCAGTTTCATCTTAACCAGTTCTATGCAATAAGGAAAGATAAGTGTTGCATCTAAAGATGAACAATAACTGTTTGCCCTGTATATTTAAAAACATATTTAACTAGTGTTAATATAATTTTTGTGCGCTGATAAAAAATAAGATGTCTACTATTCTGACAGCATGCAGAGATTTCATAGGTTCTTAAATACATCCTCACACACACATATATGTTACAAAATTAGTGCAAAAATCAGGAAAGAAGTGATACAATCATCTCTACAATTGCCGCCACCACATGCACTTGAGCAATTTCCCAAGAATTACAACGAACTCTTTCAGTAACTGGCTGGGGCCATTATACATCATTCTGAGTCCTCAGAATCTGGAAACTTTATACTTGGCTGCCTAGTTATGCCTGCTAGTTGAGGCAGAAATTTATCACCCTGCCTCCCTAAAAGGTTATAGTAGTACTCAACAGTAAAGTTCTAAAATAAAAAGTCCCTTTCACTTTCTTATCCTTATATTCTTCTAAGATACAAAATTTTATAGTGCATCCTACATTTACTACTGACCTTGATATACTCCAATTTTTAAATCTCCAGGACTTTCTCTCACTCACTCTCTCCCACACACACACAACTATTCTTGTTTGTATTCTTCTTTAGCCCTCTCCAAATACCTATTTCCCCTATATATATTTTTAACTTTTCACCAGAACAGGCAGGCAGGCCCTCCCTGATTCAGTGCCCCCAGTTGTTGACTCCAATCTCCTGCTTGTAGCGGTTGGTAAGTACATTGGCTTTGCGGGTAAGCTTGGAGAGCACAGTGTGAAGCCCACTCAGGTGATAATGAAATTGCTTCTCCAAATCCTCCTCTGCCTCCCTATCTTCAGGGATCCCTCGGCTTATGTCCATGGCACCAGAGCTCCCATTCAGCTTATCCTTCTTCCTTCCAGTGGTTTCCTCATTTGCCTGTTGTAATACACCCCATTCAATGTCATTGCGAATGGATTTGAGCAACATGTAGTGACTATACATATCTCTGCAAGAACAATAGGTACTACCATTGGGAGTCAACTGGGGCTCCCTTTCTCCACAGCCACCCCCTGAATCCAGTTCATCCAGCATGAGAGGCACATCCCGAAGAAGACTGGGCACCATCACTGTTTGGTCCATGTTGTTAACAGCTCCAATAAAGCGGTTCATTGCATTGAAGAGGGAATGTTTTTGGCTGTAAGAGTCACAGATCTGCATCATCTTGATTGCTAGGTAAGGTGCACTGTGAGCAAGCAAATTCTCCAACTGTGATGAAAGCAGGGAAGAAGTACCTTAAGGAAGCTCTAGCTGTTAAGATGGAATCAATGAGAAAAACTGTGCCAAGCAGTTAAGTGTGTTTTCCAAAAAGTAAGACCACCACTGTTTTCCTTTTCTCTGCAATATTTTCCCAAGGGTTAAGTGATATGTCTCCAATTTTCTCAAATATTAGGTACAGTGCAGGCTCAGCATAAGAAAGCCTCTGCTGCAAGGAGTGGCTGTAAAAAGAGAACAAAAGATGGCGATTGAGATCAGCCCTTGCCTTGCCCCAAACCCGTGCCACATCAACTCTGGCTGCCCTTGCCTTTCATCAAATGCCTGGCTCTTTTAAAATGCATAGCTTTCTTCATGGTACTCTTTCTCCAATTTGTAATTATTTTATGGATAGAAAAAATAACACAAACTATTGAAGTAAAAAAAACAAAAACCCTCTTCTCATCCCGATCTTCACCTACCATCAATGAAATTCCCTCCACACCGTTTCCCGAATTAAACTGAGAACATTTCGGTAAATACACGGGGTAAAGCACCGTGACACAAAACCAAAGCACCGAAATAACCATTGTCCCCATTTCTGTACACGCTGGAAGAACCTCACAGAACCTCACTCGGGTATTTCTCCTCCGTGGCCATTTCACCATGTCACCTCCAACGCTAGCCCTTAACTTGCCGAGAAGCCACACAGTATCTCGCTTTCCTTCGTTGGAAAAGACTTATATAGCCACATAGGCGCGTCTCTTTAACAGCGCCTTTGGACTGCCAGCTCCACCCAGAGAGTAGAATCCCGGCTTGGTTCGCATCTTTCCTCCCGTGCAAACAGAACTTCCTTCAATGCAAAAGGCGCGGGGGTGGACTAGGGGAATCTGAAGTAACTCTTCTCCTGCCAATCCCAAATGTATTCCTCGCAGGCTCTACTTCAAAGAATCGCCTCGCCGCCGTTTCCATTCAAAGCAGCAAATGGAAGACAGCCGAAGAACCGACATCAGCGCGCTGCCGCCCCTGCGTTCGCCGCGAGCTTCAAGAGCTGCCTTACCTATGGCGGCTCGCCGGCTCCGCATGCGTCCTTAGCGCCCTACCGCAGTCTTTCGCTCTGTCTCTATCTCAGAGCAGTATTTGTAGCCCGTATGTTAAAATAAAGTGTTTCCAAGGGCCACCCCCTTGCAGTAAAGCAAGGCAAGGGGGAAAAAGAGGCTTCTCTGTGCTTTCCAAGTGACCACATGTAATACCGGATTCTGTTAGCAGCAAGCAGGATCGACACGCAGCTCCGCCTCTTCATCAACATCCACCCCGGAGGGTCCTATGCGCGCTGGTATTGGTTGGGGAAGGGGAAGCTGTCAAATAGAGGCTCTCACTCCATTATATGAGCCAAGGGAAATCTTTGCAGCATCCCCCAAAACAAGTCTTAGCTTGCTCTTCCTCAGTTTCCCAGGCTGCCGTGGAGGAGTGAGTGAAACAAACACGAATAGGTTTCCTCTCCCTTTACAAACCCGCGTGTGGAAGCATTAAGAACTCAATTCTCTTCTACCCCCCCCCCCCCATCCAGAGTAGCAATTAAAAAAGAACCACAGATAATTAAGCGTCCCAAAAGTTGGAGGATCGTTGCCAAAAAGCGCTCAAAACGATAAAAAATGTTGGCAACTGTTAAAGGCGGTTACCTTAAAATAAAGCAAACAGCAGGGCAAGTTCTGCAGCAATAGAAGGCGGGGCGCTTTTTTCCCCTTTCCCACTAAAAGCTTCTCCAATTCTTTACCGTTTTCTTGCTCGAAGGCTTCTGTTAGGGTCAGGGTCAGTCTTAAAGCTTCTCTAACAAAAAAAAATGCTGAGCCTGTAGTGAGCGACCGACTGACTGGCTCTCAAAACGCTGATAGCGTCAAAAAGCATTGCTGCCTCAAGCACCTTCCTGAAATTCTACTCAGTTCCGTGAAAGGAGCCCATGAATTATCCCACGAACAATTTCTAGTCTGAAAACACTCTAGGCGTGAGGTCATGCCTCTTTCAGGTTCATCGTCAAATAAAACAATCAGGTGTCTGAGGGACATTTATGACTATATTGTTTTAAATAAAATGCACCTCTTTTGAGGATGACCTAATCCTTCCTGGTAGTAGTTTCCCAAAGCAATTGGCTTCCCGACGTTTTGTATCCCGCGGGGGGTGGGGGTGGGGTGGGGATTGGAATCAGAGTACGAAAAACTCGGGACCAAACTCCCAAGCGTATGGGAAAGGACTGCAGACTTTTTCTAAAATCTTGCCTAATATATATACCTTTAAATTCTACTTTCAGCCTTGGCAATGAGCTAAAGGTTTCGAGAACGTATTAAATTGCTTTTAGGCAGATTTTCTATGGTCAAAAATATCGAGTGCAGCTAGCTACCGTAGATAAAACACGTGTATAGATTATTCCCTTCGCGAGGGGCATATTTAAGTTTAAGCCTCTATCGCCTTCGAATAATAGACATCGGATGGGAAAAGAGCGCATGTTTCGTAAGTATGCATTGTTTTTACTGGAGAATAAACCTTGTATCCGTTGGACGTTTTACTTCAATTAAGTGTGCCTAAAAAAATAGCATTATTTTTCAAGTTTAGATATCCTAGAAACAAGGATCCGATTGATTTTTCCCTTTACAACTTTCACCTTATTACACCCGAATTGCCCAGGTTTTACTAGCGCATTTTTTAAAAAATCCCGAACAAATTTAACCAGATGAACGACTGAGATATGTGTTATCGGCAATAACACGTGGTGGATAGGTTGTTTTTGTCGCCTCGGAGGTCTATTTCGAAGGTCAAAACTCGATTCCTATCACTAGTAGGTCGCTGGCAATAGGACGAGCTTTTCGCGCCTCAGATGTGTGAACACGACTCTTAACGTTGCAGACGTTTTACTTCCGCGAGCAGACCGAAGACTGAGCAGTCTGCAAGCGAACATCTACAACTCTACAACTTCTCTCCCATTTCACCATCCAGAATGACGACGACAACAGCAATAAAAATAATAAAAATAAATAAATGATTATAAAGCCGCGAGAAGACCCGCGATACTTCTCAGGCAAAAGAGGTCACGCGTCCGCATAAAACCTCCACGTGCGGCCTCCCGGAGCTGAGCCGAGTCAATGACCGACAGTTACTGCGTGCTGGGATCACCCCACAGCCTTACCTCCAGCTTCAGCCAATCGCCGTGCGTGCTGCTAGTCAGACTCTGTCCAAATATGCTAATAAGTCTCGGCAATACCAGATCAGAAACAACACTTCCTGTCTCTTTCTGCTCCAGCGCCCGTGGCAAGAAAGGAGTGGCAGCTAAAAAGAGCAGCGTGAAGATCTTGTGGCGGGGAGGGAGAGAGAACGGGTGCGAGTGCGTTGCCCTGACAACTTATAAATAAGCCAAAGCATTGGGAAATAATGACTCCCTATCTTTCGCATACTTTGTAACATTTTATCTGGAAAGAAAAAAGGAATAAAGGCTCTTACAGTACTTGAAGCCTTGCGTCATGCTGCACCACGTTGCAACCAGGAAAAAAATGACTAGAATAACGCGTTATAATTTTTTTAAAAAATTACTTAGCTGCGAATTGTGTACTGTAGGAAAGTGCAAACCATCGGATTTACTAGTTGCTTTAGACACAAGTAGTTAATTGGGAAGTGTTCCTGCAAAAATCCAATTGAAGTGAAAGCTGTTTGTACGTCATTGTTTTATATCGCATTATTTTTTATCTTGTATTTTGACTAAATGTGTTATCACTTACATTTCAATGAGAATTGCCAAAGAATCCTGTCTTCCTTTCTGTTTGTTGGATTTGGATTTGTGAAGAATTCTGCTACTAGTTCAATTTTTCAAAAGCACCAAAAACATAAAAAAGGTTTAAGGAAAACTTAAACAACTATATTATTTCCTGAATAATTATTCCTTGAATAATATAATTTAATTGCAAATCAAATCAAACATTTATGTGTACAATGAAATTGAAATTATACATTAATAAAAGCTTGAGTATATCTTTACAATGAATTAATGGAATTTTAAGAAATCTTTCAAAATGTAAAATATACTGGCAAGGAAAAGATTGTCATCTTAGGGCAATGTTTTCTATATTATCTTTAAAAAAAGATTACTGTAGTAGTGGAACAATTAGAAGTAAAAGCAAACCAATTTGGTAACCTTGCCAAGAAGATTGTATGAAAGTAATTACCAGGAGCAAAGACATCTTTACCTTTAATCCAGGCAAAAAAAAATTTTATTTCTCCTGTCTAAAAATATATGCCCACATATTTTCTTAACTACAGTATGTATTTATTCGTGTAGTTGGGAGAAATAAATGGTTTGGTTAACTACAATCTCATATGAGTATATATAAACTCAAAATGTAGTGCCTGTCTTTTAGAGAAAAAGATAATCAAGAGCTATTTTGTTTGATTCAGTTCCTTAGATCCTGATTTTTACTGAAAGGAGCACAATGCTGAAATGGCATTACGTTAAAGGGGTTTGAATAGTTATATAATTCAAAATAAGGAAAAAATAGTATTTTTCTGATCTGAAAAATGGAAACTATTATGATTATGTAGAGATATTGATGACCACTTCCTTCTAAAGTTGTTTTACAGAATAGATAAGCAGTGGAAACAGATGCCACACATTCTTTTTTTATTCTTTGCCAGAAGTATTATGACAATCTTTAATACTTCAAAATAAGAGGAAGTAAGGAAGCTTACATATTCATTAATAAGGAATGCCATTTTCCAGGGAACTGTTTTTAAACAGAGGATTTTGAAACTTGCCTGATATTGCAGTAATGATTAAACCATATAGAGTATATGGAAGGATAGAATGAGATTAATTTGTACAGGGGCACTTAGCAGTCCCATAACAATGCACAGGAAGCAATAAGAAATAAAAAGGTGATATAAGGATGTAATTGCTATTATGGCCCGCATTCACCAGATTCTCTGCATATACTGTATCTTGGGTCCTGTCTAGTGTTTTGGACTCCTGCATCTATAGATCTGGTTCTTGGTGCCTGTTCTTGTGCTGCTATGATCAGTGTCTCAGTGCTGTCTTTAGCCCAGCCCTTTCCAGCCACTGATTTTCCAATGCCTGTCACCCTAGCTGTCTGTCAATAGTACATACCACGCAGGGTCTTATCTTGCTATGGCACTTCCTCTGCTTGATCTTCCTCCCACTCCGCTGCTGCCTCAGGCATTGTCTCAGCAGCTCATTTTTCAGTGCCATCTTACTGATACACTCCCAGATGCTCTGGTTTACATAGGCCAGTGACTTTGATACACACCAGACAAAAATCTATCAATAATAAATAATAACTGCATTGGAAGATCTACAATAAACACCATTTGTCTGCATACAAAAACTGGTGGGACCATAAAACAGACAAAGTAATAGAAAATGAAGAAGCTAAAGTGCTCTGGGACTTTAGAATTCAAACATAATACCCCAGGCTTTACAATTGTTAATAAAAAAGAATCTGGATAGTGATGTGGCAATACTTGGAGACAGCAGAAGAGAAGAGAAAGAACTGGAGAAAATAACACAATACAAAGGCCTGAAAATAGAAATAGAATGACTCTGGCAAATGAAAGAAAAGAGTAATAGGCACTTTGGGTGCAATCCTAAAACAACTGCAGTACCACTTGAATGCCATTGGCAATGACAAAATCACCATCAGTCAATTACAAAAGACAGTTTTACTTGTAACAGCTTACATTCTGCAATGATACTTTAATGCCATCAAACATCAATACCTGCCTATCCCAGATCCTTGGGAAGGCCTTGACAGTTGTCTATGGCAGTGATGGCGAACCTATGGCATGTGTGAGCCATCTCTCTGGGCATGCGGAGCCAATCACCCATTGCTCTTCCAGGCTCTGGCACGCCGGCCA